GAGGGTAGAAATAAACACACATGATCAATTAATATTTATCAGAAAAAGCACTTTGACTTTGCTCTTGGAACTATTTGGAAATGACAACAAAAGTAAAAGAAGTCCAACTACATCATACTAAAAAGCTTCTAAATTTATTGCAGCTCAATTCACAACAGCTAAGATATGGAATCAACCCTGAGGACCATCAACTGATGGCTGGATAAAGAAATTATGTTTATGTGGAATAGTACTCAGCTGTTTATGTTTATGTGGAATAGTACTCAGCTGTAAAAAAGAATGAAATCTTGCCTTTTGCAACAAAATGGATGCAACTGGAAACCATTATGCTCAGTGAAATAAACCAGTCCCCAAAAGGCAGATATAATGTTTTCCCTGATCTGTGGTTACTAAGAGTACCAAAAATGTAATATATAGGGGTGAAATTGACATTTTGAGATTTGATTATTGTTTACAGGCCTGTGTCTACTGTTGAGGAACAGTGCTTTTTCTTACGATCTGTTGAACTCTTTACTTGTTGTAGGGTTAATCTTATGAGTATAAAGTAAACTGAAAGTAGATCACTGTAAAAATTAAGGGAGGGAATAAGAGGAAAGAGGAGGAAGTATGGTAGCATGGGAAGGAGAGACGGTAGGGTGGGAAGTATCACTATGTTCCTAAATCTGTATACATGAAATGCATGAAGTTTGCATACCTGAAATAAAATTTGAAAAAAAGAAAAGAGCTAAACCGTTTTCAAATTAAAAAAGCTTCTGTGAAGCAAAAGAAATCATCAAGGCTGTTGCCGCGGCTCACTAGGCTAATCCTCCGCCTTGCGGCGCCGGCACACCGGGTTCTAGTCCCAGTCGGGGCACCGGATTCTGTCCCAGTTGACCCTCTTCCAGGCCAGCTCTCTGCTGTGGCCAGGTGTGGGGAGCAATCCGGACTAGACTGAGTTACTGGAATTAAGACTTATTCTATGCATCTGCTCTCCCACAATATGGCGCTGGGAGAGAAGTAAACAGCTTCTGCACAGCTGCCTCCAGTTCAACCAATAAACTGTAGGACTTGCTCCTGATTGGAGGAGAGCAGCGTACTCGGCGTGTGGGCAGCCGAGTTGGGATTGGCAGAGAAGGACTATAAAGGAGGAGAGAGACGGCATGCACCGGGAACATCTATGGGGAACATCTAAGGGGAACATCTGAAGGAACGCCTGTGCAGCCCCCAGAAAGCCGGCCGGCGGTGTGCCGCTCCCCTGCGGAAGTGGGGAATGTGGCCGGGGGAACCGCCCTTCCACGGAGGTGGAAGGGATAGTAGCCAACCCGGGAAGAACCAGCAGCAAACCCGGGGAGGGCCGAGCAGACGAAAGAACAGCGCAGGGTCCTGTGT